CCGGCGCAGTATTGCCTGTGTTCGCGTCCCCCCCCTTTTGGCGCTGGTGTTGTCAGGCCAATGGCAGTCCAGAGGATCTGCCTCTTGAAATCATATAAAAGCAGAGCCACCCCCCTTGACCGACTCCCTTGGCTCTTGACTTGGAGTATCCATTGTTGAGGTTTGTACACTTTATTTGTTACTATTTTTGCTTAATAGTACCGTACCACCTTGATGGTTGTTATCACTGATTTTGGCGCACGCGTGACTGCTGGATACAGTCGGAGAAGTCAAGGGACGAAACAACCACCATCAGTGATGCAAAACGGAAAAGAGTTGGCATCATTTAGGAATGGTGCTTGACTCTGTAGAGGAAAATGTATACATATTTAAGAACCAATTTACCATCTTGGGAAGAACCTCAAATACCAGGAAGACCCTTTTCAAAGTCAAGAAGTTGCCTGCTTGGGAAGTAAACAGACAACGAGAACTTTATTTCTGCCCAAACTGCCCAAAACAAAGTAGTGCAAGCCAGAACTTCAAGTAAATGGCTGTTTGAAGGAAGGGGAGCACAGTTCACACGATGCTTTCTCACTGCATACAAAAAGTTGCAACTGCTCAAAGACTTCTCTTTAGAAATTCAAAGAAACCACTTGTTGGTGACAAGGGCGCGCATGAAGTCGACTTTGAAGTATGGTTTAAAGATATACAACCAGAGACCGTCAGAAGGTGAACCACCTTCATCATAGCTCCCCTTCCTTCCCTCCCTATATCCGAACAAATAGAGTCACAGAGACGGCGTATAGCGTTAAACTGCCTTAGGGAACGCTGAGTGCACATTGAACCCCTTAAATGCAACAGGCCTCTAATACATGCCGAAAGTCATGAAGCACTGACTGGAGCTGCTGAATGCGCTTTTCACTGAAGTAATGATTCCTTGCGGGGGAGAGGGGCTTGCAAATTTAATTTGTAGGTATTATGATCCAAAACGGATTCCTATCTGGTAGTATGCGGCCTTTGAACTGCGGATCTTCTTTCGACCGCCACGAACGACAACTTTCACCTCTGCCGCATTCGATGGGCGTAGCAGTGAATTGCGGCGAATCAGCTTTTGGTAACTAAGACTTGCGCCGCATTTGCGTCACACCCGCTGGGAGCCAATGGCAAGACATAATCAGGACGACCGAAGGTAGGCAATGGCCGATCAAACTAAACAGCCCATCTACATGTCAAGTCAAGTCAAGTCAAATTTATTGAAGGAAATATAGGCAAACGCC